GGGAATATGTGCAACGGGGTGAGTGAAGCAGAGTGCATGTTGTGTGTAGGCTTGCTTTGAATGCCAGGCCGTTCACTGCAGCTCTTCTTGATCCCACCCTACCCACCCTTTGTGGAATTGGTTCCGGCAAGGGCGGAAGAAGGGAGGATGTTTTCTTGCTGTAGCTACAGCTCTTGAGTCACGTTCCGTGCCGATGACGGTCTGCTAAAAAGGGAACAAGCTCGAGCTTGTAAAAATGAGACAAGTCCGAGCCCAACATGTATTGCCTATGATGTTTCAACACTTTGGCTAATGTTATTGCTGCTATCGTCCTCTTGTCTTGTTGCCTGCTTACGCTGTACTTTGCATGTCATTGTATTCCAGATTGCCTTCTCCCACTCAAAGCCTTGCTAATTCTCCACAATTCCGAAAGACTGCGTGCTTGACCAGTGCCACTATGAACGCTAGACAGTGTGCATACTGCTGCTGGTCGAACAAAGGAATCTCGGAAGTCCAAGTCCAGAAGCTCTGTTGGCAACCAAGGCTCCCAGCAGCAGTCTCCCGGTTGGCCATTGATTCCGTACGTGGGCGAAGGCTTTCAGGAGGCGGGACATGCTGCGCCCATCGAGCGACACTTTGTCGGGAGTCAGGTGCAGGATGATCTATCGATGTGAGGTGTGAAAACCCCACGCCTCGGGCCAGGCAACCAGGTTTCCGAATTATATGGGTGCTATTATCAATTATCATAACAGGCTGTTTGGCACTTGTGCTCCCGTCTATCTCCTGCACCGACAACAAAGTCTGAATGGAAAACTGTGCGTAGTATGGAGCTTCCACGAGTTTCCGTGAGCTTCCATTACGTGTAAGCCTGAAGATTCGTGAGAGACCGTGGCTTCAGCCCAGATACTTCCGGGGATAATGCCGTCGCTGCGCATGAAATGGATCTCATGTCTGGCCTCCAGATCTGTGTCCTCCGGGAGCATGAGCATGCAATAGGCAGGTCGAATAATCTTGCTGGTAGTCTACGACAGGCTGAACAGTCCTTTGACCCGCAGGTTTTCTTCATACTTACAATCAGAAATCTGATTTGCGAAGGTGCAACATGTAGGCTTGGTTCTGGACCTCACCACGGGCGCAGAGGGCTATGCTGACCCTCGGCTTGAGTCTCACAGAAAATGCCGAGTTAAGGCGTGGGATCGGTTTCGGCTTGAGGTTTTAGATTGTGTGTGTGTGTCTGCATGAGGGAGCCTCTAATTGATGGGCTCCCACTTCATACACCATGTCGTGGCTGATGGCCTTGGTTTGTGGCTTCGAATTTGTTTCTCTGCCGCGAGGGACATTCCACTATGCGCACATTGACTTGGTATTTTCTCGGCAGCTGTTTGTTGCTTGCTTGAGTTCCAGGTACAGATTCATGCGCAGGGGTTCGTAGCTCCCGACCTTGCAAAACTCAAGGCATAACTTGCGAATCCAGGGCGACATCTCAGCCTGAAAGCCCGAAGCTGGACAAAACTCGGACTGAAGCAGTACCTAGCTACCTATAGGTAATTTTCTTTGTTCTGGCGGAGTCGTGCGCGAATCATTCGCAAGTCCTGTCTTTGATCTTTTACTTACCTAGGTACCGCCAGGCATTCTTGTCAGCATACCCTGCATACAAAAAGAAAGTTGCAGCACGCAACGCAATCCATGGCTTCAGGTTCGCAGCCTCGAAGTTTCATTCAAGGCGCTGGGTACAGCAGTTGTGGGTAGGTGTATTGGGGAGATGTGCAGTGTAGCTCTCATCTGCGCGCAATTGTGTGCTTTAGGATGACGGAACAAAGCACATGAAGGATCGGAACTAGGATGTTCAAGTTCCCGCGTTCAGGTTGAATCGATAAACAGTTTTCGAATCGGAGTACCCCAACAATAAAGTACTCGAATACTGCAATGGCTCTGAAGGATCAGGGCGTACAACGCGTGAGGATGAATGTCAATACGAAAGTAGAGGGAGCGGTGTCTCTTCGGCGGTTGCAGATAGTCCTTTGCGCTTTATGCGGATATGTCACAAATGGGGGAACAATCTGCCACAGGCACAAGCGGCTGCGGAAAAGCTACCGCCGCCTGGCCTATCCAACAGACTGTCAAGTGCCTGCTTTTCCTTTCTACGGAGAGACTTCAATCACAGTGTGAGCGAGAAATGCGCTTGCACCTAAAAAGTTTGTACCGAAGCGCTGGTGCCTGCAACCACAGCGACAATGGGTTTTGAGCTTCAGGGATATCCTGCAGTGCCTTTCAAGATGTTGTGCTGGAGGGCGCCAGGACAAAATTTATGAGAAAGGACACCCGCAGCTGGCCGTTTTGTCGACTGTGCCCCATGCAGAGATTCTTGATTCTTGAGCATGAGAATCCCAGGCGAAATAGTGCTAATGTAGAGGTTCCCGAAAGAGTCGATGGCGACTTTCGTTGACCAAGCCAATGGGCCTGTTGGCTTTGATCATCGCTGAGAGAGGGCTCCTCTGGTGAACTCATTTCGGGGACCTTACCTCGATCTTCATCGCCAGGAAATCTGCTACAGCAAAAAGATCTGTTGTATTCCCCCCATGAGCCTGGGCTGTTGCGGGATGACGACTCTGAAGTTTGGGTCGTACTTTCAAGCAGGGTTCAGATGTTTCGCGAATCTCAGGAAGTTCTACAGCTGGGTGAAGAAGAGGTACCAGCCGACCGTGGAAGACTGGATTCAGGAACCTGACTCCAATTCCGTTGGGTTGGCAGGGGCTGGGGTTTGGGCTTTGCGAGAACACTTCGTCACGGGCGCTGCCTTCGAATGAAACTTAAATTAAGAACGGGGCCACTTCGCAGCGTTACCTGCTATACGCTGCCCAGAGGCCGCTTAGGCGGGTGGGTAGGCATCATATAACGACTGGCTTAGAAGGCCTCATTTCCTGACTGCTATCGTCCATAAACTCTGAGTGTGACATCCCAGCATACTGTCCGCAGGAGCATCTGAATGCCTGGTATCACCGAGAGACCTCGGATGAGTTCCTTGACCGTCCACGTTTGCTGCGGCTTTTGGGCGTCCAACCTCCCTTCCATGCCACGATCTTGAAGTTTTGGACTGGTTTGAATTGGGAATCCGTAGCTCCATCAGGACCAAAAAAATGTATTGCCAGACGGTGATCTGGAGCTCTGCGCACGGATCATATATGTATTCAGCTTTATGTATCTGTCCGTGTCAATCTCTAGATCGATCTCTAGAGCCCATCATCCAGCTACCCGGATTTAGAATCTTTGCGCATGGAACAGGAGACGACAGGGCTTTGTACCTTCCAGGAAACCCCAATCAAGGTTTGAGTTGCCAAAGCTTGACCCGTGCTTTGTTTCCTGCACTACGTAGAGTGACGCCTTACTTGTGCTTCCTGTCATCTGGAAAAGGGGAGCTCTTCCTTCCAGGCACTGTCCTGGAGTGAAGTTTCGAATTCCTGGAATCGGTGCCAGCTTCACGGCCGGCAAGTCGGCTGCACGTTGGAGAGTTGAGGTCACAGGCAAAATGAGTCTGGCCATGTATTCCTGTGTGAGGATACTGCGTTGTGATGACTGCTTCGGTCTAGTTGTGGTCTTATGTGGTCTTCTCTTCCACTAACTGGCTACAGGCCTGAACATTTGGTTGGCTGCTTTAGATTCAGCCGTCTATCCTCTCCTAACCAACATGCAGCATGGAAATGGCCGCTTACCGACCATTATCTTTCGTGGGGGCAGCAGGCTGTATGGGGTCCCATGTTTGTGTGTGAGAGATGGT